TGGTTTTTCCAGTGGTCATGTAAGGATGTGAGATTTGGACTGCGAAGAAGGCTGAGCGCCGAAGAACTGATGTTTTTGAACTGTGGTGTTGGAGAAGACTCTTGAGAGTCCCCTGGACTGCAAGGAGATCCAGCCAGTCCATCCTAAAGGAGATCAGTCCTGGGTGTTCATTGGAAGGACTGATGCTGAGGCTGAAACTCCAATACTTTGGCCACCTGATATGAAGAGTTGACTCATTGGAAAAGACCCTGATGCTGGGAGGGACTGGGGGCAGGAGGAAAAGGGGCCGACAGAGGATGAGATGGCTGGATGGCATCACCAACTCCATGGACATGAATTTGAGTAAATTCCGGGAGTTGGTGAGACAGGGAGGCCTGGCGTGCTGCGATTCATGGGGTCGCAAAGAGTCAGACATGAATGAGCCACTGAACTGAACTGAACTGAGCTGAACTAAAGCATGCTAAAGCTCTTTTTGTGGGAAAGAATGACTTTAGATATTTTGAATAACTTCAGACTTTGTTAAAAAAAAAAAGGATAGTCAAGTATATTTCCAAAAGGTAAACAGTTAAGGTTAGAAACAAAATCTGTAGCATTGAAATCTAGAGATGGGGTAAAAAGTAGGTAATATATAAAACATAATGTGTTCTGTTGGTTCAGATGGTAAAGAACCTGCCTGCAATGCAGGAGACCCGGGTTTGACCCCTGGGTTGGGAAGATTTCCTGGAGAAGAAAATGCCAACCTACTTCAGTATTCTTGCCTGAAGTATTTAATGAACAGAGGAGCCTGGCAGGCTACAGTCCATAGGATTGCAAATAGACAGACATGACTGATAGACTAACATTTTTCACTTTCACTTTCAGTCCAAATAAGGCAAGGCAAAAGAAAAAAGAAAATAAATGATAAACAGAAAGCACAAATATGGCAGTAGAAATATGTCCAAATATATTAGTGTTTATAATAAATGTAAACAGATTAAATTCATCTGTCATAAGGCAGAGATTATTAGATTTTATAAAAAAGAAAAGATAACTGCATTTTCAAAAGATAAACATAAATGGGACAAGGTAAATGATATCTCCCTACCAATTATGAGACAATATTAAAATTAAGATTTATTGTAAGCAAGACATGGGGTTAATGCAGATTAACAGTGATAGACAAACAGTATGGTACAGAAAGCTCAGAAACAGATTCTGTATATAGGAAAACTGATATATGACAGATGTTTAACTGCTAATAAGTGGGAGAAAGGATGAACTAGTTATTACATGGTATTGAGATAATGGGTTATCCATATGTACATAAGAAATTAAATCCCTAACTCATATCATACACAATGATCAGTCATGTAAATGAGATAAGTATCCAAAAGTGATGTAAAACTTGAAAACTTTTAGAATACATGAGAATATGATATTCAGGAAGGGAAGGATTTCTTAAGTCATAAAAGCAAAGCTCATAAAGCAGTATTCACATATTCAACTATACTAATACTAAAAAAGAAACTTCCATAAATCAGAAAACACAAGCCATCATCTTGAAGAAGATATTTACAATTCATATTAAGCAACAAAGTATCAATATGAAAAATAATAAAGAATTAAAAATCAGTAAAAAGTAGCAACCCAACAGGAAATGCACAAATGATATGAAAAAGTCAGTTCACAGAAGAAACCAAAGTGGCCAATAAACATATGAAAAGATTTTCAATCCCACCAGTAATCAGGGAAACATATATTATAAAAACAGTGGTGGGCTTCCCTTTTGGTCCAGTGGTTAAGAATCTGACTTACAGTGCAGGAGAAGTGGCCGGGGAACTAAGATCCCACAAGCTACAGAGCAAGTAAGCCTAAACACCGCAACGAGAGTGTCCAAGCACCACAAGGAAAGATCCTACATGATGCAACAAAGATTCTGTGTGCCACAGTTAAGAACCAAAGCAGTCAAATAAATAGATAACAATTAAAACAAATAAAATCAATGGGATAACATTTCACATTTATCATGACAACCAGTAAAAATGTATAAGTTTGATGATTTCAAGTGTGGAGGATTCAGAGATATGGGAACTATTGTACTTTGCTGTTATTATAGTTTGAAGTATAAATTTGTTCAACTACTTTAGAAAACAACTGGCCACTACATATTAAATTTGAAGATGCATATAATCAGTAATTCCTCTCCAAGTTATATGTTCAAGATAATTCTCATTCTTATGCATAAAATGGTCCTAGTAGCATTGTTTAAAATTGCAAAACATTGGAAATAATCTAAATCACGATCAATAAAGTGAAAAAAAGAAATTGTGATGGAATTATAAGTGAAATTTTATATAGCAGTTAAAAACAATTGAACCAGAGCCACATGTATCTACGTGAATGAATCTCTACAATATAAGAGAAAAATTATAGAATGACATTTATAGTGTGACATCATTTATAGGAATTTGTAAAACAATGCCAGTTATACCAGTTATACATTGGATTTATTACAGTTGTTACCTATTGGGTGAAGGCGGAGAGATACAATCAGCAAGGAGTGCAGGGAAGTCTCAACTAGATCTATATTTTTTAAAATAGGGAACTGTGTAGCATAGATGGTACAACATTGATATGATAAAACCAAGGTGTTTGGTGGGGGAGGGCAGTAAATGACTCTTCCTTTTACCTCTACTCTTTTCTGTATATTTAAAATTATTCACAATAAACAAAATAGTTTAAAGAAGATAAGACAATTTTTAAGTCTGCCAAATTGTCAGCCAGCATTTCTGAAGGCTACTAGTTGATGACAAGTGGCAGCATCAGACTGCAGTCCTGTGTTGAGAATGGTCTGGTGAAGAGTGCAAACGAGCTGGCACCTCCCACTGGCACTCCCAGAGAGGCAGCATGCCCCTTGCTGGCCGTGGTGGCTTCTGGTGAAGTGGGGAATGGGGGTGACTTTGAAAGTGAGAGATAGTTACAATAGTGATTTTGACGTGGACTCGAGCTGTCTAGATAATACATAATTGAGTAATCCTTCCTAACCTTTCTTAGGCGTGATACACATGGATAACATTTGTCTGGCACTCTGGAGTAGAGGCTACTACCTCGGGGGCTCAGTTTCCCCCAGACCCACCTGTGCCCCTGAGCGATGTGTGGATCAGCATCTCACAGGTGCATATCTTACCATAGCACACAAATGTAGCCTACTTGCAGTACTGTACACTTGTGTGACACAAAACGCCTTTTGAGAAGATTTGACCCAGAAAATAGTCTTTTCTCACCTAAAAGTAGGGAGCATTATAAACTACTACAAACTCGGGCGGTGCTTAAAAGTTTGCCCAAAGGGAGTGCACCGAGAGTCACAACTATTCTGCTTGAGTTTGTGCTGTAGCAGTTAAGAACAGAAAGCGCTAGTGCAAAAGAAATGCAGTTAACAAGAGTCTAAAAGTTTCCTTCTCAAGCAACTGAAGACAGATCAAGAACCCTCTCCAATTCATAGGTCAGCATCATATCAAGCTGTGACCAGATGAAACTGCGATGTGAAAGCAGGCAAACTAGGCCAGAATATGCGGGGCAGAACAAAACACAATCTTGAAGGACAGCAACTAACCAGACAAGACAAAGATAATCCCTTACCAACACCTTTGTGGGAAGGGATTGGTATGTCACCCAACAGCCATTTTCATTAGGTTAGCTCATGATTTGGAATTTCTATAATTATATACATGCTAAACACAGTTCATTCTATGGGTTATTTTTTTTTCCATTTATTTTTATTAGTTGGAGGCTAATTACTTTACAACATTGCCATGGTTTTTGTCATTCATTGACATTCTATGGGTTATACTGAACATTTTCAAACCAGTTCATCTTTGTTCTTCTAAAGTCTCAAGTTCAAGGCGCTCTATTAGGTGGAACTATAATAAGGTCACCTGACCTGGGTGGATCCAACTTACATTTGTAGTCATTGTTTTACACCTCAGTTACATAGATAGATAACCAGCCTCTGTGCTGAGACAGTACCTGCAAAGGACAATTTCTCAGTCTCCTTGTAAGTGAGCCAACTGGCCCTGGATACAGTAACAGGCTGGGTGTAAGGCAGGGATGACATGGCACAGCTATACTGGTTACTAAAATACTGAAATACCTCCATATTTGTTGGTAATTAGCCACTCCTAGAGCCCCCCCCCACAACCCATGTGACCACTCTGTCACACTAGTCCTTTTCCCAGAACACCATCTCCCCCTAGTCCAGTAACAAAAGTGTTAATGCCCAGCACAGCAGGGAGTCACAGAGCTGTTAAATATTTTGAACATTACCAGTGGATAGAGACAAATCACCATATCCACTCTTGAATGTTCATTGCTGGCACCATCATCCCTTTGGATTCCAAGAGAGAACAGCATCTCTTGTTGGCCAGTTTTGCCTCAAGTTCCCAAATCAAAATAAAATACCTTCTGATGGACTAAATGCTCAACTTCTCTCCAGGCTAGATGCCAGTCTTGGGGGAAGAAAGAACTTTTTAATCCAAGGGCCACAGCTTTGCTGGGGGACTTGTCCTTCTTAAAGGTGAGTGACAGAAGTCACAGGAGACCAAACCTGATCACTTGCCCAGACTGGCTTTTCTTCATGAGCTGTCTTCCCTTCATTTCATGCATTTACAAGGCAGCTTCCCCATTCACCATGATTTTAACATTTCTCAGGAGACTAGAACCCTTCCTTAACACTTGGACCCACCGAGGGATCTGGGGAGAACTTGGCCCTGGAATATGCAGCAGCATTGTAGTATCACCCTGCTATATGCAGAGTCAAGAGAAGGCAGCACAGAGCTGGGGAAGAGAAAAGAAACTGCCTGTGGGGTAGAGGACAGGGGGAGAAGGATCACTCCTGATGCAGGAATTCTGCTGTTCATTCAGGGAGCCAGAGGAGCAGGACACAAATTGCACTGGGGTAAGCAACCAGGCATTGCTCTGGGAAACAAGGAAAAGGACAAAGCAGAAAGGCCACATCCACTCACCGGGGCTGGTTATCGTCAGGAGATCAAGCTGCCGCTGTTGCTGCAAAGGAAAACACGTTGTGAGAGAACTGATTTAAGCCAGAGTCAAACTTGTTGCTTAGGACTCAGGGTGGACATGCAAAGGGGATGTCCAGGGCATGCTGTGGAGAAGGTGATAGTCTCATGGTTCCGCAGAGAGGCCTTGCACCCTAGAGACAAGGAGGGATGGATGGCCTTTCTTATCAGAGCTGTCAAATTCATCTTATACTAAGGGAAAATGATGTCCTGAGAGGAATGTGGCTTACCTATAGCCACAAAGAAAGTCCCTTTCCAGACTCCCAACCAAGGCTCATCCCTCTGGACCGGGCAGCCTTAGATTTCTCCCTGCTCACACTGGACACTGGCTATACTGGTTAAGTGTCTGATATCCTGGTAACCCTCTTTGCCTTGTCCTTAGTCGCTGTCAACATCCTTTCTAACCATGATACTCCCGAGGGCTGGTTTATTTAACTCTGCTCAACAATGCTATGACAGTTTCCATTACTGATGATGAAACCATTCCTTCTCTAACTGAATCCTCATCTCTTTGTGCCATACAACGTTCATAGAAAATATCTGTCAGGTACACCAGGCACTGGATGAAGCCGCTCACGTTTGGAGGCAACTGGCTCTGACCCTAAGGGCTGAAGTGATCAACATCTCAGTAGGCTTCCCCCACCCCCATCACACCACACCTAGGGGGAAGCTCAGTCCTGAACTGGATATCATGGGAAACTGAGGGTGGAGAGGAAGGCATTGGAGGCTGAGGATAGGGCAGAGGTAAGTAACTCTCTTAAAGACTTGTTTTTTAAAATTAATTTATTTAAATTGGAGGCTGATTACTTTACAATATTGCAGTGGTTTTTGCCATACATTGACATGGATCAGCCATGGGTATACATGTGTCCCCCATCCTGAACCCTCCTCCCACCTCCCTCCTCACCGCATCCCTCAGGGTGATCCTAGTGCACCGGCCCTGAGCGCCCTGTCTCAAGCATCGAACCTGGACTGGTGATCTGTTTCACATGTGGTAATATACATGTTTCAATGCTGTTCTCTCAAATCATCCCACCCTCACCTTCTCCCACAGAGTCCAAATGTCTGTTCTTTACATCTGTGTCTCTTTTGCTGTCTTGCATATAGGGTCATTGTTACCATCTTGCTAAATTCCATATATATGCATTAATATACTGTATTGGTGTTTTCCTTTCTGACTTACTTCACTCTGAATAATAGGCTCCAGTTTCATCCACGTCATTAAAACTGATTCAAGGCATTCTTTTTAATAACTGAGTAATATTCCATTGTGTATATGTACCACAGCTTTCTTATCCATGCGTCTGCTGATGGGCATCTAGGTTGCTTCCATGTCCTGGCTATTATAAACAGTGCTGGGATGAACATTGGGATGCACGTGTCTCTTTCAGTTCTGGTTTCCTCGGTGTGTATGCCCAGGAGTGGGATTTCTGGGTAGTATGGCCGTTCTAGTTCCAGGTTCTTAAGGATTCTCCACACTGTAAGACTTAAGTCAGGATTCCTTAAGCCTCTGTCAACCCCTGACTCTTTCCTACACTTGATTTTCCATTAATAGCAGTTTTCATTAATATGTATTTTTTTTTCTTAAAAAGGGGTCTTAACAAACTTCACTTTGAGAACCATTGCTTCGGGATACACACTGAAGGAGCTTCTGATTATCTGGTATTTCATTCAGTGGGTCCCTTGGCATATTTCATCACATCTGCATTTCCCTCTTTATCTTGCCTCTCCCCTAGAATGGCTCCCTGAAATTCAGCTTCAGCAGAAAGGAGAAAGCAGCAACATTTTTTGAGTACCAAATATAGGCCTGGCAAAGGACCAGGCACAAAACCAGGCACTTTGATGTGTCATTTCTTCTCACACTCTTGGCAAACCTGCACGGCTCGAACTGTACAACAGAGGGCCGTGGGATTCAGATAGGAGAAATTATCTGCCTGAGACCACATCTTTGTTAAGTGAGAGAGCCAGAAGTCAGTCAGTTCTAATCCTGACTTGATGATTCAAAATAAGATAATGCACGTGGTAAATCACTCAGCATGATGCCTGCCAATTAATAGATGCTTAATAAAAAGAGCTATTTTTGTATTGAGGTTCTGTTATTACTATAGACCATGTGATCCTTGGTTTATAAAAGCTGCCTCGTTCCTTTTCATAGAATTATGATACCAGAGCTCAAAGGTCATCTAGTCTGACCTGCCCCTAGGATGGGAATTTCGTCTGCAATATCGCCACCAGTTGTACAAACAGCTTCTGTTTTATCCCCTTTCCTGACAGGGAACTCATTTCTTAACAATTAAATTAAAAAAATTTTTTCTTTTGGCCACAGCACATGAGATCTTAGCTCTCCCTGACCAGGGATTGAAACTGTGACCCCAAATTGCCCGATTTTGAGCACGGTTAAAAGCTGTTTCCTTATGAAATCATTGTTGCTTTGGCCTGTGACAAGTTTGAAGATCTGAAGATCTGTCATCTTCTCCCCTGGTTAAATATTCCCAGTTCTTTCATCCTTGCCTTATAAGACCTGGTCTGAATTCTTCTGGCCCTTGTGGTCCCCTGCTCTTCCATTTACATTTCATCTGTCCTGGTCAGAACCTCTTTAAGGTCTCTCTACCCCTTGCTTTAATGATTTCTCAGGGCCCTAAAAGCAGATCTGTATCATTTCAGAGTCTTCTCAATCACATATCCCTGTTTTCCTGCCAGCTCATAACTCATTCCAGTTGACATTTTCAAGCAAACAATGCAACTCCAAGATGTCACTGACCTACATTGTGAGCACATATCCTCATGCTGAAATGAAACACACACCCACACGAGAGCTGGAAGGAATGCTGGAGCCAGACTGCCTTCTTTCCCAAACACGGAACCAGGCTAGTAGTACAATCGGCTCAAGCTGCCTTTGCCAAGGCCAGCCTGTAGGCTTGGCCCTTCCCTCATACATGAGGAAAGAATACAATGTGTTCTTCCATTTTTCCATAAGCTTGGTCTTGTGACAATCACCATCAGTGAAAGAGATCTAGTTATATGAAAAGTGTCTATTTCTTAAGAGTCATCTCTAAATGGTGATTCAGTATCCAGGGTCCAGCAGAGAAAAAGGTAAGAAAACCTGAGAGGAACACAAATAGACCTGGCCTTGTGTCCTAACTCCTCTCTGTGGTTTTGGATAACTTACTGTGTGTCTCCAGTCTTGAACTTCACACCTTTAAAACGAATGAGTGGGACTTAAATACTGGCAGTGACTCTGAGTAAAATGCACAGGCGCTGGGTCTGTGGGCTCCCTCTTCTGGTATAGAGAGTTCTCTGAGAATTCCTGTAGCCAGGACCCTCGGGGCTCAAATGATAGCTAGGATTTAAGAGAACAGATTTTAAGCTGCCTTCACACACTGCCATTTTCAGGGCTTGAGGGAAATCTTAAGGGCCTGGAACATCTATTATTCAGTCTCTGGCACACAGTAGCCCTCAGTGAGAACGGCTAAACTCTGCTGAACCATTCCTGGAATCCACATTATCCTTTCAAACCCCTATGCCTTTGCTCATCCTAGTCTCTCTAAACTAAGCTCTTGAGATCTTTACGGAGCTCTCTCCTCATGTCTCAAGACCACCCTGAGGTCTTCTTTGCACGTCAACTCCCAACTGAACCCCTTCCTCTCCTTTACTCAGAACAGAAGATTTCACACTGTATTCATTCAATGCGTCTTGTAAAACCTTCCTTTTGTATCATGCCCTGTCTTAATTATTGGCTTCCTTCTCTGTTTCTCTCATGAGGTCCTTGCTTGAAGACAAGATTATGTCATTTCATCTGTATATTTCCAGTGCCCAGCACAAAGGCTAAAAGGAATGCTTGATGTCATCTAGTTCAAATGATTCAACTATTCCATTATTCCCTCCTGCAACACCGCTGAGAGATTTGTCAGCATGGAAAGTAAGCATACCCTTTCCTCTAAAGGACTTTCCCTCTGTCATGGCTTTGGGGTTTCCTACCTTTATGATTTTTCTCCCACCATCTCTGCAGCAATATTATTATCTATCCACATCCCTGGAAACCTTCCTTCTTTTACTCCCATGCACAGGGTCACCGTTTCTCCTAGATCCCTACAGCATCTACTGCCTGTGCCCCTCCTGTGGTGATGAATTGAATCTAACCTGGTGATGAGCCCCTTTAACCTACAGTTCACAGACATATGCGTGCACCCTCTAGTGGCCCAAGAAGATAAGTGTAGACTACTGTTTTAACTGGTAGCTCTTAAGACAAGACTGCAAAGTCTACGTGTCCTATATGCAGACAAAAACAAAAGTATATGTTCAAGAATCACTGTGCAACAATTTTAACCTAAGATACTAAAATACCCAAATAATTTCCTCAAAGTCTGTCAAAAATGAAAGGAATACAATGGAAGAGGAAATTTTCATCCCCAAAGTGTGCCTAGTATTTAGGTTCACCAAAGGAAACTGGCATTTATTAAAATAGGCAACTGACTTGTGGAATTTGACCAATAATATAAATTAATTATATAAGAGGGGAGCATGATGGAATAAAGAATGTCCAAATTATTTTAATTAGTTACCAACTGAAGACACAGGGACCTTTTACATGAAGATGATACATTACCTACCTGCCTGGATGGTAGAAAATGCAATATTAGTTGGAGAAAAATAGCTAGATAGACAGCAGGGCTTGCTGGCTGAGGGCTGTGCAGCTGAACCACTAGCTGACCATAAGCTACCATCTCAGGAAGGCAGGCCCTTCATTTGCTAGTGGTGCCCTGTGTATGTATGTGTGTGTGGAGGAGTAGGGGGGCATTTGCCTCAGATAAAGGAATTCTACACCTACACCGAGGGCAATGTGTCCAGGTATGTCTGGATGGTATTCCATGGACTCCTGGAGGAGTGTGGTATGCCAGGGTTGGATCGGTTAGGAGGTGCTGTGCGGACTCCTGACTATGACCCTGCATCCAGCCTTTCTTGGTAAGAGTGGTGCCTCACAAACAT